CGTCTTCTAAAGACACACTAAGCCCCTGCCTCGGCATTCGCCCATCGTCCCCGGAAAACCACGACTCGAAAACCGGGGGCGAGGCAGACTTCTTTTTCAATTTGAAGCATGAGTTTGAAGATCTTGCTTGGTGCTCAGGCTCGAGGATCTCCCCATGACGCTTCTCACGACGAAAGGAAGCTTAAAGAAAGATAAAACAGAACACAGTAACTCAAAACAATTAACAAGAAATAAAAGTAATGTCGAAATTGGAAAACCGGGCCCCGAAAATCTCTACTTAAAATTCTTCCCTTTCTTTATACGGAGCTAACCTATCGGCATGCACAACCTTGCTTTTCCGACCACCTGAACGAGAAATACAGAAAACTACATCACTAATTTTCTTAATTATCTCAAAAGGCCCCTCCCAATCGTTCTGTAGTTTGGGAGACCTACCCTTCTTACGATGAGGATTAAATAACCAAACCTTCTGTCCTTCTTCAAAAACGAGATGCCTAGCCTTTCGATCATAGCGGCACTTGATCTTCAAAGACCTTGAATCTCTCTCTTACTCTCTGATGAATTTCATCCAGCTTCTGCCGCAAATTTCGAACGTACTCCTCCGCTGACTCGGAAAAACCATAACTGGGAGGAGTACCTCTTAACAAATCCATCGGCAAGGTAAGATCTCTTCCGCAAAACAATTCTGAAGGAGTTACGCCTGTAGCCTCATGTTTAGAGGTCCTATAGGCAAGAAGAAACATGGGAATCCAACGATCCCAATCCTTTTGATTCTCTTCAACAAACTTTGACAAATACTGTAGAATTGTCTGATGTTGTCTTTCAACTTGACCATCAGACTGAGGATGAAGAGCGGTCGTCCTCGTTTTCCTAATTCCCAAAATTCTCATCAATTCTTGAAAGAGCTGTGATTCAAAATTCCTTCCCTGATCAGTATGAAGTTCCAACGGGACCCCATATCTGGAAACAACCTCATTAACAAAAATTTCTGCTACCGTAGTAGCTCTCATATTTTTCAAAGGAAAAGTTTCTACCCATTTAGTGAAACAATCAACAACAACTAGGAGATACTTGTTGCCTGAAGAAGAAACAGGTAACGGGCCTAAAATATCCATCTGAATCCTCTCAAAAGGAGCTCCCGAATTAAAGATCTGC